GTTGCTGGATCTTATTACCCTGTGTACTCTAGTTTAGGTGTTGCACCCTTGTATAGCTTAGCCTCCCCTGCTGCGTCAGGCATAGGACTGTGTAATTTGCCTAGCCTTGTCTCTGCACCGGCGCCGTACCCGGCCTCCGCCACTGCTTTGCTGTCCTTCACTCTCGACTCCGGTGCTTCTGCCTGCTTCTTCCGCGAACGTTCCATGCTCACGCCACTTGCTGCGCCTGCTGTTGTCTCTCTCGCTGACCCCTCTGCGGGTCCTGTCGTCGCTCGCAGTTCTACGTCCCTTCCCTGTCCAGCAGTTCCCTCGGGCTTCCTTACAGGTCTCCACGTTCCCTCGTTCTCGAGGAACCTAGTTGGTGTCGGCTATCTCCGGGACCTCGGCGTCACCACCACGTTCCCCGGGCACGAGCGGTTCGCTGTCTGTTCTGAGTCTGTCTCAGGTTCCCTTCTTGCGACGTTCCCCCGGGACCCGGTGTCCAGTCTGTTCACCCTAGACACCGCTTCCCCCCCGGTTGGTGCGTCCTCCCAGGTCGCTGCAGCTTGCTTGTGTCGGTCCCTCACTCACCCGTCCCTTCTCTGGCACCACCGCCTAGGTCACCCTGCACTCCCACGTCTGCGTCACATGTCCCAGCACGGTCTTGTCTTAGGTCTCCCTGCGTTGCTCCCTGCCCTTCCTCCCTCGACTGCGCCACCATGCACGCCTTGCGTCGAGGGCCGGCTCCGCCGCTCTCCTCACTTCTCCTCGCTGCGCCCTGCTACTGCCCCCCTTCAGACCCTGCACTTGGACGTTTGGGGCCCTGCCCCCGTCCCCGGACCGCGAGGTGAGCGCTACTTCCTTGTGCTCGTCGACGACAACACGCGCTACTCCACGGTGTTTCCCCTGGAGTGGAAGGCCGACGTGCCCGGCGTTCTTCTCCCGTGGGTCATAGCTGCGCGTCTTCACCGCGGTCTCCCCGTGTTGTGTCTCCACTCTGACCGTGGCGGCGAGTTCGCCTCTGGTCGGCGTGGACAGTTCTATCGTGCGGAGGGCATCACCCAGTCGTACACCTTGCCGGACTCGCCACAGCAGAATGGGGTTGCTGAGCGCCGCATCAGCTTGGTCATGGAGGTTGCCCGTACCTCCACGATTCATGCCGATGCCCCCCATTTTCTGTGGCCGTTTGCTGTTCGCTACGCTGCTCACCAGCTTAACCTGTGGCCACGCTCCCAGCGGCCGCAGGTTTCGCCGACCCTCCTTTGGACCGGGTCCCCCGGTGACGCGTCTGCGTTCCACGTCTGGGGCTGCCTTGCTCACGTTCGTGCCTCTGGCACGGACAAGCTCACTGCCCGCAATGTCCCCTGTGTCTTCCTCGGTTTTCCCCTGGACTCGTCTGACTGGCTTTTCTACCACCCGCCGTCTCACCGCTTCCTCCACTCTCGTGACGTCACCTTTGACAAGTCCGCCTCCTTCTACCGTCGCTTCCCTCACCGAGGTCTCCCGGTTGCCCCCCCCCTGTTCCTTGCTCCCTCTCCCCCAGTAGCCCCTGCCCCTCTCCCGCCTCGTCCTGCCCCGTCTGGTGTCTCTAACGTCACTCCCCCCCCGTCGGTTGTCCCCGTTGAGGAATCAGCTGACTCTGGTGGTACCCCCGGCCCGTCCTTGCCGCGTCACCCTTCCCCGGTGTCTCCGCCTCCACTGTCGCCGTCGCCGCAGCTGCCGTCGCCGCTGCCGCCGCCGCCGCCGCTGTCGCCACCGCTGTCGTCGCCGCCACTGCCGCCGCCGCTCTTGGCCCCTGGGGGTGCTAGCGTTGAGGAGGGTGTTTTGTCCTGCGGCACCTGGGGGTGCTGCTGGTGTTGGAGGGGGTTCTCGCTCTGGGGGTGTTGGTTCTGGGGGTGCTGCTGTTGAGTGTACTGCCGACGGTCGTCCTACCTCTGCCGGTCCGAGGGTTCCGGCCCAGCCGTCGCAGCAGCTGCAGCAGCCGTCGCCGTCGGAATCCGCTCTCCTCCTGCTCGGCCTTCCCTCCCCGGACCGCGCGCCGGTGTCTCCCCCACCGCCTGCTGACCTTCCTGTCTACGGTCCTGTGTTCCCGCCGCCGGACTCGTCTCCGGCCCGTCTTCCTCCTCGTTCCCCTCCTGTGTCCCCTCCGCTGTCCCCTGACCCTACACCTCCGTCTCACGTTTGGTCTCGCCGTCCCTCCCGTGCTCGTCCCGTCTCTCCTGTCCTGCCCACCCACCCTATGTTGCTCCGTTCCCGCTCGTCTCCTCCTCCCCTCCTCCCGTCCCCTCCTCCCTCATCCCTTGCTGTTGCACCTCCTCCGTTCTCTGACTACCTCCGTGCCGCTCGTCCCCTTGTCCCTCGGGTCCTTGCCTCTCTTGTTACCGACCCCGCTGTTCCTGTCTCGCGCCTTGACGCGCTTGTCGCTGCTGTCACTGACTTTGCCTCTTCCCACCGCCTTGACTACGCTACCGCTCTGGTCTCTGACCCTGCCCGTCCTCCGTCCGTCGGGGGTGCTCCTGCCGTTGGCAGTGACGTCCTAGAGGACACGCAGTACGAGCTTGCCTTCCTTTCTGAGGCTGCTCCCCATCTCTGCTGTTAGTCCCTGAGGGTGACCCAGACGCCTTCGACATCCCGACCCCTCGCACCTACGCTGAGGCCACCTCGGGACCTTGGGCCTCTCAGTGGATAGCTGCCATGGAGCAGGAGATGGCATCTTGGAGGTCCACCGGCACTTACGTCGACGCAGTTCCCCCGCCTGGGGTGAACGTAGTCGATGGTCGGTGGCTCTTCAAGGTGAAGCGCCCCCCTGGAGAGCCGCATGTCTTCAAGGCACGCTACGTGGCCAGAGGTTTCAGTCAGCACGAGGGGGTTGACTTCTTCCAGACCTTCGCCCCGACCCCGAAGATGACCACTCTTCGGGCGCTGCTATACGTAGCAGCACAGCGCGACTACAAGCTTCACTCCCTCGACTTCTCTACTGCCTTTCTTCAGGGCAGCCTACACGAGCAGGTCTACCTGCGCCGACCACAGGGTTTCACTGGTACCTTCCCCCCTGGGACCCAGTGGCTTCTCAGGCGCCCGGTCTACGGCCTGCATCAGGCTCCTCGCGAGTGGCACGACACGCTGCGGGCCACGTTAGCAGACCTGTAGTTCTTTCCGTCCTCTGCTGACCCCTCGCTGTTTGTGCATTCCGGCCAGACTCCGTTCTACATCCTTGTCTACGTAGACAATCTGGTCTTCGCTACTGCAGACAGGGACGCACTGGCCTCAGTGAAGGCCGAGCTGCTGAAGAGACACACCTGCACTGACCTTGGAGAGCTGCGTCACTATCTTGGCCTGCAGATCTCTAGGGACAGAGCAGCACGCACCATCACTCTGACACAGTCACACTTGGTGCGTCAGGTCCTTCAGAGATTCGGTCTTCAGTTCTCCTCCGCACAGCCCACACCGCTACCTGTAGACCATGGGCTCTCTGCTCCCGTTCCTGAGGAGCCAGTAGAGCCCAGTGGCCCCTACGCAGAGCTGGTGGGTTGCCTCATGTACCTGATGACTTGCACTCGCCCAGATCTCGCATACCCTCTCAGCATCATGGCTCGCTTTGTGGCTACAGGCAGACACCGACCTCAGCACTGGTCTGCCGCTAAGAGGGTTTTGCGTTATCTTGCTAGTACATCGGACATGGGGTTAGTGCTAGGAGGACGCAGGCGAGTGGTCCTTACTGGGCACACAGACGCTTCTTGGGCAGACGACTCTGAGACTCTCAGGTCGTCGAAGGGCTACTGTTTCAGCCTTGGTTCGGGTGCTATCTCTTGGAGATTCACTCGCTCGTCGTCTGTGGCTCAGTCTAGCTGTGAGGCTGAGATCTACGCTGGTGCCATGGCGGCACAGAAGCTCCGCTGGCTGACCGTCTTGCTCACAGACTTAGGTGAGCGGCCTAGCTCTGCCCCGGTCCTGTACGCTGACAACAGGGCCATGATACTCCTGTGTCAGGAGCCTCGGCTTGAGGGCAGAGCGAAGCATATCCAGCTGCGGTACTTCCTCCGGCGCGAGCTACAGCAGCGCCGCCAGGCCCGCGTAGTTCACTTGGCCTCAGGTGCCAACACAGCTGATATCTTTACTAAGGCGCTTGCGCCTAAAGATCATCAGCGGCACTGTGTACAGCTTGGTCTTGTTCCTGTAGCTACTCACCTGTTAGGGTCCTGATTGTGTACTCTCTATTATATATGCCTGTAAGACTGGCCTTGTGGCCTTACCTCCAGTGGCTGGACTAGTAGTGCCACCCTGGCTTGCTTTAGTCTTGTTTGTACCCTTGCTGACTGGTCTCTAGACCCCTGCCTCAGTGGTTGGACTAGTAGTGCCACCCTGAGCTGTTTGCTTCTTGCTTACCTTCACCCATTGTCTAGCCTAGGGGGTGTGTCAACTTATACATGTTAGCTGTGTACAAATTATAGGGTAGACTGGGGTATGCCTCTAGTGAGTACAACCAACTAGTATTTGTCCTAGGCTTCCACTTCTAGTCAATCATTCAGTTCTTACCTTAGCAGTTCCCACTGCCACGCTCGGTGACAACAGAGTTGTCCGGGCCGTGACTATTTACACTGACGACGTGTCCCGGATGTGGGTAGTCTCATCCCGGAAGGGGGGGTGGTGTAAGGAAATTCCTTTTCCTTGCTGGGCTCGACTACAGCGCGGACGCCCTCCACTCTCGGAAGTCCAGGCTCGGCCAAATTCTTCGGTCCCGAACCACTTCGCGACCCAAACCTAGACGCGCGGTGCTGCCGTAGCTTTCGCCAACCGGACCGCCCCAACCTGTTCGCGTGGTTCTCAGCCAGCTCAGTTTGTGCCTATAAATGCCTAGACTCCTTTATTACACTACCTGTTATTACTCTGATTAATTCATAACACTATGACCCCTCTGTGAGCTGAATTGAGCCCACCTTGGAGAGGCTGGAGTCCCGACTCCCGAACCGACCGAACTCCCACAGCCAGGGCAATTCCATCCCCACCAGTCTAGCCCGTTCACGCTTCACTGCTTTGGACCATCGCACACCAGAGCACCATACGAAGTGGATCATGAACAACCGCGCTGGCCGCGCCCTCACTACCTCTTAGTCCACCACCCGTTGACGTCTCGCCCGTACGTCCACGCCGCGTGTCGCCATCGTATTCCGGTGCGCCCATCCAAGCCTCACTGGATCGTGCCACTATCCATCAGCGGCAGCAGCGGCGTCACAGGAAGCTTCAGCCGCGCAGCAGCAGCAGCAGCAGCAGCAGCAGGAGGTTGGCGGCATGGCGGCGGCGGCGGAGGACGCGTTGAAGCTGTTCGTGGGGCAGGTGCCCAAGGCGTTCACGCCGGACGACCTCACGCAGGTGCTCGCTGAGGCGGGCACGGTGTGTGACGTCACCATCGTCAAGGATCGCGTCACCAAGGAGTCGCGAGGTGATCGCCGCCACCCGTGCGTGCTGAGGATGTAGTGATCGTGAGCGAGGTGATCGCGGGCCGAGGATGTAGAGTTCGCGTGCAGTGTCGGGTTACACCGAGTCACTAGATTCGTTTGTTCGCACGCGGAACCTATTCACTCACCACCACTCCGGCTCTGCTCCCGCGCCCGTCCGTGTGCGCCTTCCCTCCCGCCTTCCGCTCCGTCCCCCCCCCCCACACCCCTTCTCTCCCCCCAGGCTGCGCGTTCGTGCTGTACTCCACGCGCGCCGAGGCGGACGCCGCCATCGCGCTCTTCCACAACAACCGCAAGCTGCCGGGGGTGAGTGGCGCGTATGGTGCCGTGGGGTTGCGAAGGGGGGGTGAAGCACGCTTGGGCGTGCAGCGAGATGAGAGGTGGGCCAGAAGTCCATGCGCTGCGCCGTTGCGCCGTTGCGCCCACCTGCTGCCGCGCCCTGCCTACTTCTTTCCTCTCTGCTGTTCGCTTTCTCCCTGCTCACTCCCACCGCCTCTCCCTCTCACATACACCCCTCCATCACCTTCCCCCTCTCCCTTCCCAACGCCTCCCCCACCCTGGGTTACATTGCTGGGTTGCGGTGTGGTGCTTGGGTGCATGGTGGGTGCATGGTGGGTGCATGGCGGTGCATGGCAGGCGAAGACAGCAATGCAAGTGAAGTACGCGGACGGGCAGGAGCACAAGATAGGTGCGCCTTCAGCAATGCCCTCACATCCATGCCCTTAAATACATCCTCCCGTGGCCTCCAACCATTCTCCTCTCGCTATCACCATCCTCGCTGCTGCTATTCCAACTTGTTACCTTTCCTCTTCATCTTCGGTGTGCGTGTCTGCATGTGCACGCATCAATGAGGTTGGATGCGCGCGCATGTCTGTGTGTGGGGCGTTGGTGCGTGCGTGCATGAGCGTACGCTCGTGTGTGTGGATGTGTGTGCGTGTATGAGTAAGCGTTTGTGTGCATGTGCGTGTGCGTGTGCATCTGCGCGCCCGCCTCAGAGAACAAGCTGTTCGTGGGCATGCTGCCCAAGGCGGTGACGGCGGAGCAGCTCACGGCGGTCTTCTCCGCGTACGGCTCCGTGCTCGACGTCAACGTCCTCAAGTCCGCTCCGCACATCACCAGAGGTGCCCCGTGCTGCTCCTGCTCCCATGCCCCCATTGCCCCATGCTCCCATGCTTCCATGCTCCCTTGCTTCCATGTGCGCTTCTCATATGGGGAAGCGCTGAGCGATGTTGGTTTGTGAGATGCCCGTCACCCTCCCGTGTCCCTATCCCGCCCACCCCTCAATCCCACCCTCCGTTCCCTCCTTCTCTCCCTCGCCCCCACCACTCCCTTCTCCCTCTCTTTCCTCCCCCTTCCTTTCCCTCCCTCACTCCCTTCCCTCAATGCTCCCTTCCATGCTCCCTTTCTCACCTTCCCTCTCTCTCTTTCTTCCGCCCCCCCCTTCTCCATCTCTCTCACTTCACATACCCCCCTCAACCCCCTCGGGCCACCAGGGTCGGCGTTTGTGAAGTTCCAGTCGTACGCGCAGGCGCAGGCGGCCATAGAGGGGCTCAACGGCAAGCACCGCCTCGAGGTGCGCCGCCTATGCACAACCAGGGGGGGGGGGGGGTGGGGTGGGGGGGGAATGGAGGGGGAGGGATGGGGGGCTGTGCGGGGAGGAGGAGAAGTTGGGAATTAGTGTGTTGAGGAAAGGAGTGCTCTTGACGAACCCTATCTATTCTCCCCTGTTTCTATGGGTGTGGCTCCCTCTTCTACATCCCTGATCGACACATCGCACTGCCCCACGGCTCTTCTGCCATCCCTGATCCTCATTCCCGCTCCCCACTTCTCCTCTCACCCCTCCCTCCCTTCCATCCCCCTCACTCTCTCACCCTCTCGCTCCCCCGGCCATCCCGTCAGGAGAGTGGCCCGCCCATGGCGGTGCGGTGGGCGGACACGGACAAGGAGAAGATGGCCCGCAAGGCGCACAGAATGGGGCCCGGCGCTGCTGTCGCTAGTGCAGCATCCCCCGCCGCGCTGTACCCGTCGCCCCTCATGGGCTCTGCCCCCGGCGCTCCCTTCTTCCTGCCGCCTGGCAATGCGCCCTCGCTCTACGGCTCCCCCATGCAGCCGCAGCTGCAGGTGGGGCTCCACCCACCTGATCTGCCATCGCCGCCCCACTCTCCCGCCCTCTTACTCTCCCGCCCGCTCTCCCGCCCTCTTACTCTCCCGCCCGCTCTCCTGCCCTCTTACTCTCCCGCCTGCTCTCCCGCCCTCTTACTCTCCCGCCCGCTCTCCCGCCCTCTTACTCTCCCGCCCTCTTACTCTCCCGCCCTCTTACTCTCCCGCCCTCTTACTCTCCTTCCCACTCTCCCTCCCACCCTCCCTCCTTAAAGTTTCCTGCTTCTGCTGCTGCAGTGTTTTGGCCACACATTCAATGCTGCCGAACCTGCAGACAGTCAGTGTCAACGTCTTGGGCATGCACGTTGTCATGTACCTGCCTGGCCCCCTGTGTGCATGCGCGTGTCTGCCCGTCATTCCGTGCAGCAGCAGTACGGAGGCATGGATTTTGCATCGCTGTACCAGCAGCAGCAGCAGCAGCCACCAGCCATGCCGCAACCGCAGCTGCAGGAGATGTATGCTCTGCCTGCTGCTGCACAACCCTATTCCACCGATGGCGCAGGAGCAGCAGCAGGCGGGGGGGCAGTGGGGGGCTATCAGCTGGGAGCGGTGCCTTCAGCGTCTGCCGTGGCTGCTGCTGTGAGGCAGGCCCTGGCTCAGAAGGAAGGTGGGGGGGAGTGCTGCACTGCACACTGCATGGTGCATGGTGCATGATGATTGTTGCATGCTGGATGCTGCATGATGTCATGTTGCATGCTGCATGCCGTGCTGCCATTCAAGTGGAATTACACCTCCAGCACTGCATCCACTGTCCCATGCCATCATCCCAGCTTGAAGTCACCCCTTCTTTGCTGTATGCCATTTTGCTCGCCGCCCGTGCTACCACCACCTGTCATTCGTTTGTGATGCCCGCACTTCGCCACACCCACCCCTGTAACACTACTCTCCGATTTTCCCCTATCGTTACTGTGTCCGTCCGTCCCTCACCCCAGGCCCCCCTGGCGCCAACATCTTTGTGTACAACATTCCCGCGGAGTGGCGCGACCACGACCTGACCACAGCGTTTGTGGAGTTTGGCAACGTGCTGTCGGCACGCGTCTTCATCGATAAGAACACCGGCCTCAGCAAGAACTTCGGTCAGTGTATGCGGCAGCACCACACTGCACCGCATTGCACACTCTGCAGCAGCACGATTCATGCATGTGTGTGCATGTTTTGTGCCGCATTTCTCATTGCTTGTCTTGGACTTACATCTTCACGCGTCTTTCCAACCATCCCTGCTTTTCGTCTCCTCTCACCCCCCTCTTCCCCCTCTCATCCCCCACCCCCCCAGGGTTCGTGAGCTTTGATGCGGCGGAGGCAGCGCAGGCGGCGATAGCTGTGATGGACGGCTTCCTGGTGGGCGGGCGCCACCTCAAGGTGTCCGTCAAGAAGGGCCAGCAGGCCTCCGCGCCCGGCCACGGCGCTGCACCCTACTGACCGCTGCTGCCCTGCTGCTACATGCTGCCCTGCAACATGGTACCCTTGGTGGATGGTCGGGAATGCTGCTTGCTGTTATTTTTTTGAGGGGGGGAAGGGGGGGATGTTTGGCGTGTTCACACCACCCTCCCCGCAATCCCTTCTTTTGCTGTGCCTCCTGTCCTCTCTTTCTTTGTGCTCCACCATTTGTGCGTTTGTAATGTGTGTTCGCTCCTCTCTCTCTCCCTCCCCCTGCCCCTCCGTCTCCTCCCCCCCCCCACCCCACTCTCCTCTACCCATTTTCGTTCGCTCCCTCCTGGTCCCTCACTCTCTGCAGTACGTGTTCCCCCCTCTCCCATTTTCGTCGTGTATGTGTGTCAGTGCATGTTGCCTGCCTCCACTCAGTGGTTTCTGCCACAACTGTCTGTACATCACTCACTCTTGCTGCGTCGCTCGCTCTCACACTACTTCACTCTGTCTCATTGTGTTGTTCTGGATCCACCGGATCTCCTCCTCCTCCTCGGCCTCCTCCACCTGTGCTCGTCTGTTCCACTTGTGGCCTGTTTCAGTCAGTGCTGATTTGCTGTGCCGCTAGCGGCATTCGCCTGTCCTGTGCGTCAACCAGTGACCCTGGTTCAGTCGGTGGCTCAATGTTATGCCTGTCAGCAAATAGTGAATGTTAATGCCACAGGCGCTTGTGAATGTGAAAGCTACAGTAAATTGATGTTCCAGTTGGTAATTGTGTTTCTGCACGCTTTTGTCCCAACCCCCTCAATCGTTCAGAATTGTGTACACCCAGAACTGTTCATTCTTTTTCTCTCTCTCCCTCTTTCTACCTCTCGCACCATCCATCCCTCCCCTCTGGATCCTTGCCTCCTTCCCTCCTTCCCACACTGTCCCTCTCCCCCACCCCCACCCCTCCCCCCATCCCCAAATGAACCCTCTCCCTTGCTCTACCTCACTCTCGTGCATTCACACACACCGATTTGCCTCTATACTTCTAACCCCATGAACCCCCTCCTCCCCTCCCCCTCGCTTTCCCTTCTTCCTGTCTGCTCTCCTTAGTTCGGCCCTCTGTCCCAGCTCTATTTCTTGCCATCCCTCGTTGCACCTAAACGAATTAACAAGTCACTAACCTGCTAATGTACGTAGTGAGCCTTGCTGGTTCGCAAATTGCATGTACAATATGTCATGTCACGAGCCAGGTTCGTCTGACGGCCTTCTCATCCTGAGTCATTACTGTGAAGTGTATTCATTGCAAGGTGTTTCATGCAGGAATAACCTCGTTTCGTCTAGTCTTCGAAGCATATACCAGTACCGTGCCAAATGACTCACTCTTCATCATGCAATGCAAGCAAAACCAGACAAGTTTTCTTGTCTTCTTTATGCTCAGTCCACAGCACCTTTCCTGTGGCCTTCTTCGCCGCGGTCCGCACAGTGAAAGTCGGCAGCATGTTCATTTCGTGCACACTTTTCAATTCATGCAGTGACGCCTCACCTTGACCATGCGATTTTAGGCCAGGGAGTCCAGCACAGCGTGGCAACAGTGGCTGAATCTGAAGGGTGCAAGGATTGTGTGGTGGTGGTTCTTCACACTCTGAGTAGCGCCCTTGTGGTGGTAGTTGAAAAGTGCGCCTTGATGTTTTCACCAGATGATTCCCAATTGATGGTGCTTCACAATCCGTTACTCCATTCTCCACCACAGCAACCACACCAATGGTGGCTGCAGCAGCGGCCTCGATGCATTGGCCATACATACGAGATTCAACGGCTGAGGTAGATGAAAACCCCCCAGAAGTTTCATCACGATCATCATCATCATCATCATCATCAGCCGGAGCTTGCGTATATCCTCCGTTACATGTGGAGCCAACAGTCTGCAACTCCTGTTCTTCACTACGTGAACCATGAATTCCATGGTTGCCAGATGTAGATAACATGCACAGGTCATTGTCGTCTGCTGCGACAGAAGACGTTGGAATGTTATGCTTCATCAGGGGAAACAAAGAATCGTACACGATTGGATACGCATACCAAACAAAAATAGCCGTGCATTGGTGCTTGAGTGTGCCTCCAATATGTGAGGGCTGTATGTCCAATCAGAGCAGTTAAGACACGGGAATTAAAACGGAGGCTGCACAATACACAAACCTGGGTTGTGCTTCTTTGTAAGGTATATCCTTCTGGAGATCTTGAAGCCATTCCAAAGCATCCTCCTTCACGCATGCCTTCCAACACTTCGGACTATCTTCGGACCTGAATGTGAAGTATGCATGTTGAGTCGGTTAGGAGAAAGAAGACCTTAACCCAAAACAACCAATCTTAGTAACGCTTACTCCAATGAATACTTTTTTCTTGAACCAACCGCCACAGGAGAACTAGTGGGCCCTATGTATTTTGTCTGCGTCTTCATTGTCCATCCAGCCATCCATTCTCTTGCCTGGTCGAATGCAGTGCCTTGGCCTTTCCATGGCGAAGGGAGACTGCTTCCATGGCTCCGGCATTTCTACCGGGGACAAATGATTCCACGCCTCCCTTGATTCCATTACCGGGGACTGGTTCCATAGGTCCCGTGCTTCTAGAGCAGGAGACTGGACGTTTACCTTCAAGTCCTCCAGAAATGGAGACTTCAGAGAATCCAGGTTTGTTCTTGACACTGGTGCATCTTGCGGAAATGGAGACCAGCACTTTTCTCTCAGCTCATTCTGGGTATTGCCAACTGGAAACTCTACTGCACAGGGGCGTAGGTTTTATAAGGTTTCTGGCTCATGACAAGGAAACAAAAAAGCTACCTCACCGTTCTCTTCAAGCATTCTGTACTTCGGTGAAATTATGGGTTGATCCCAATCGTCATGCTGTATCGCATCATCAAACTTGATCTCCTGCGCACCACGAAGCAGAGTCAGTGGAACGAAACATTCATCGACTCCCTCTTAACAAGGTTACCTCCTCATGTCCCAAGTCGCTCTTCAGTTCCACTGGAATTGACTTCAATCCAAAGGGGCGCCTAGTCACATGTCCAGCAACCTTCAGCACGAAGCAAGTCACTTCAGAAAACGATCCAAGTACCACTTCCTGAACATAAATACCTTGGCTGTGCGTGGTCTTGTGGGGATTGTGGAGGCGTCATCCCATCTATTGCTCCAGCACCAACCATCGTGAGTGAAACATACGGTTCTGATGGCAGATCGTGTCCCATCTTAACGTGATCTTGCACTTCCAGCAGCTTCACAAGGGAGAAACCGCCTTCACAAGACAAGGCATTGCTTTAGCAAATTGTTGGAACAGCATCAACGTCATCCAGTTGGATGTCAAGCAAACCTCGAAGGCTGTGTGCTCGGGAAGGCCTCAGTGGTTCAGTAGGACCTTCAGTTGGCCCTCTTCGAGACTTTTCGAGTAAACCTACGTCGGTGTGCTCAGGGAAACGGTCGCGAGATCGAGAAGCGGTTCCCATAAGTGGAGGACTTGCCAAAGGCTGGACGACTTCTTCGCGAATGCTGGGAAAAACAACCCTTGCTTTTTGACAAGGCATGGGATTTGGCTCAACATCGTCTTCACGAGCACTGAAAGATTGTGCATGAGCATTTGAACCACTCAAATTAATAAGGATGCCTTCTTCTCGTGCTTACCCGTAAGTTTGACCTGTTCATGTTAATGAAAGAGTTGAGAATCAGCGAAGGCAAAATAGCAATGCACAAAGCACGCTGTGCTATATTACCTTGAGGAGAATCAGGAACTTTGTCTGGTGAGTTCCCGGAATGATCAAGTGCTTGCAGGCTAATGATGTCCAAAGACTTTCCTGGAAGCTCGTGAGGAAGAGAAAGTGGTTGTCTTCCTTCACAAGATTGCTGGCGCTGATGCTCAAAGAACTGTCGTTGCCTGCAATATATACATGATATTAACCTTTTTCCCAGACAAAGGACGAGGTACACCATGACGAAAATTACCTCTTCATCTGAACCTGGCGAGATTTCTGCACGACGAAAGAGCGCCGTAAGTTGGGGAAGCGGAAACAAGAGCACGATGGTAGGCATTACCTCTTTGACCTTCCGCCTCAAGCCCCCAGTCCATTGAAGCATGATGGGGTACAAATTGTTTTGGTGACCACCTGCGAGGACTCGGGGAACTCGAGTGCGTTGAGGTGAATGGGTGCGAATCAATGTTTCCTCGGGCACAGGATTTGTGAAACACTGGCCGCGAGAGGGATTGTGTTGCGTAGAAGGGCTTCTTGCGAACTGGTGATTTTCAACTGCCACTCTCCTTCCAGCAGTTCAATGCGTAACATTCTGTACCGTTCTCAAAACCCAAGCAACGAAACCGTTACACCCCTTCAAAACTGGAACTCATTACCATGTTTTACATGGCCAAATCAAATTTATGCAGTACAAAATCAGCACCACATACCAGCACGATATTTCAAGTTATATGTGACATTACATTCGTTATCCACGCTGTAAGTGTTGAGACTAGAAAGAATGAATAGAAGAAGGGAGAACAGGGGAGATATAGCGTTTGGGTTGTACCCACTAAGAACATACCCTATCTAGCCTATAACTTCTACGTAACAATATATGTATAAGATGACACACCCCCTAGGCTAGATAAGGGGCAGTGCTGAGCAAGAAACACTACTAGTCAAACCTCTGAGCCCGAAGACCAGTTAGCAAAAGTACAAGCAAGACAGAGCAAACCAGGGCGGCACTACTAGTCCAACCACTGGAGGAAAAGCCACAAGGCCAGTCTGCAAGGCATAAATAGAAAGAAGTACACAATCAAGGGTCTAGCAAGTAAAAGTCAACAGGGACTATACCTAACTGCAAGCAGTGCCGCAGATGATATCTAGGCGGAAGCGCCTTAGTAAAGATATCAGCTAAGTTGGCACCGGAGGCCAAGTGTATTACGCGGGCCTGGCCATGCTGCTGAAGCTCGCGCAGGAGGAAGTACCGCAGCAAGATGTGCGTCGCTCTGCCCTCAAGTCGAGGCTCCTGACACAGGAGGATCATGGCCCTGTTGTCAGCGTACAGAACCGGGGCAGAGCTTGGCCGCTCACCTAAGTTGGCAAGCAAGAAGGTCAGCCAGCGGAGCTCCTGTGCCGCCATGGCACCGGCGTAGATCTCAGCCTCGCAGTAAGACTGAGCAACAGACGAGGAGCGAGTTGACCTCCACGAGATGGCACCAGAACCAAGGCTGAAGCAGTAGCCCTGGGAGGACCGGAGTGTCTCAGCGTCGTCTGCCCAAGAAGCGTCTGTGTGCCCAGTAAAGACCAATAGCCTGCGTCCTCCCAGCACTAGCCCCATGCCTGATGTACTTGCAAGATAACGCAAAACTCTCTTAGCGGCCGACCAGTGCTGTGGTCGGAGTCTGCCTGTGGCCACAAAGCGGGCCAGGATGCTGAGAGGGTATGTGAGATCTGGGCGAGTGCAAGTTATCAGGTACATGAGGCAACCCACCAGCTCTGCGTAAGGACCACTGGGCTTTGCTGACTCCTCCGGAACTGGAGCTGAGAGCCTGTGGTCTACTGGCAGAGGTGTGGGCTGTGCGGAGAAGAACTGAAGACCGAACATTTGAAGGACATGGCGCACCAAGTGTGAGTGTGTAAGAGTGATAGTGCGCGCTGCTCTGTCTGTGGAGATCTGCACAGCTCTCCTAGATCAGTGCAGGTGTGTCTCCTCAGCAGCTCAGCCTTCACGGAGGCCAGCGCGTCGCTGTCTGCTGTAGCAAACACAATGTAGTCTACGTAGACCAGGATGTAGAACGGAGTCTGGCCAGCACGAACGAAGAGCGAGGGGTCAGCAGAGGACGGAAGGAACTGCAGTCAGCTAGCATGGCACGCAGCGTGTCGTGCCACTCACGGGGCGCCTGTCGCAAGCTGTAGACAGGGCGCAGGAGGAGCCACTAGGTCCCATGAGGGAAAGTACCGGTGAAGCCCCGAGGGCAGCGCAGGTAGATCTACTCGTGTAGGCTGCCCTGAAGGAAAGCAGTGGAGAAGTCGAGGGAGTGAAGCTCGTAGTCACGGTGTGCTCCTACGTGTAGCAGCGCCCGAAGAGTAGTCATCTTCAGGGTCGGGGCGAAGGTCTGAAAGAAGTCCACCCCCTCTCGCTGACTGAAACCTCTAGCCACGTAGCGCGCCTTGAACACAGGTGGCTCTCCAGGGGGGCGCTTCACCTTGAAGAGCCACCGGCCATCGACTACGTTCACCCTAGGTGGGGGAACTGCGTCGACATAGGTGCCGGTTACCCTCCAAGATGCCATCTCCTGCTCCATGGCAGCTATCCACTGAGAGGCCCAGGGTCCCGAGGTCGCCTCAGCGTAGGTGCGAGGGGTCGGGATGTCAAAGGCATCTGGGTCACCCTCAGGGACTAGCAGCATGGAACAGAGATGGGGAGCAGCCTCTGACAGGAAAGCAAGCTCGTACTGCCGGTCCTCCAAGACATCACGACTAAGGGCAGGAGCACCTCCGACGGACGGAGGACAGACATGGTCAGAGACCAGAGCGGTAGCGAAGTCAAGGCGGCGAGTAGAGGCAAAGTCAGCGATAACAGCTACAAGAGCGTCAAGACTGGAGACAGGAACAGACGGGTCGGTAACGAGGGAGGCAAGGACCCGAGGAACAAGTGGACGAGTAGCACGAAGGTAGTCAGACCGAGGGGGAGGCGCAACAGTGAGCGATGACGGAGGAGGCGAAGGCAAACGGAGAGGACGAGACGCGTGGGAACGAAGCAACATAGGGTGAGAACGCTGAACAGGAGAGACAGGACGAGCACGAGAGGGACGGTGAGACCAGACGTGAGACGGAGGCGTCGGGTCAGCTGGCAGAGCAGGAGTAACAGGAGGGGAACAAGAGGGGAAACGAGCCGGGAACGAGTCTGGCGGAGGAAACACAGGACCGTGAACAGGAAGAGGGGGAGACGGCGATGGAGGAGCAGGCGAGCAGTCAAGGGAGGGAAGGCAGACCCGGCGAAGCGCGGACACCGGCGGCGACTGCTGCTGCTGCTGCTGTTGCTGCTCAACGCCGAAACTTGGATCACCAGCTGCACGACTGCTACCTCCGGCACACTCCACGCCAGCACCCCCAGAACCAGAAATGTCTCCAGCGCCGGTGCCACCCCCGAGCCCACGAACAAGCCAGGACAGGAGCCCCAGGACTAGCACCCTCTCCAACTCCAGCACCCCCAGAGTCCACGAACGGCTGCGGCTCCGACGACGGCTGTGGCTGCGGCGGCGGTGACGGCGGCGGCTGTGGCGGCGGCTGCGGCTGCGGCGACGGCTGTGGCTGTGGCGGCAACTACGATGAGGGAGGAGGAGACATCGGAGGAGGGACAGGTGGCGCAGACCACGACGCGGGGCCACCGGAGTCAGCCGACTCCTCGACCGGGACAACCGACGGGAGGGGAGTGACATGAGACACACCAGATGGAGCAGGACGGGGAGGGAGGGGAGCAGAGGCGACCGGGGGAGTGGGAACTAAAAACAGGGTGGGGGAAACTCAGAGAACTCGGTGAGGAAAGCGGTGGAAAAAAGGAGACAGACTCGTCGAAAGTGATGTTACGGGAGTGAAGGAAGCGGTGAGACGGCGGGTGGTAGAAGTGCCAATCAGACGAGTCAAGGGGGAAACCGAGGAAGACACAGGGGACGGTGCGGGCAGTGAGCTTGTCCCTGCCGGAGGCATGAACGTGAGCGAGGCAGCCCCAGACGTGGAACACAGACGCGTCACCAGGGAACCCGGTCCAAAGAAGGGTCGGCGAAACATGTGGCCGCTGAGAGCGAGGCCAGAGGTTAAGCTGGTGAGCGGTGTAGCGAACGGTGAATGACCATAGAAAATGGGGTGCACCGGCATGGATCGTGGAGGTACGAGCCACCTCCATGACCAAATTGATGCGTCGCTCGGCAACTCCATTATGCTGCGGGGAGTCCGGTAGGGTGTACGTCTGGGTGATACCCACCGCACGACAGAACTGTCCACGCCGACCAGAGGCGAACTCGCCGCCACGGTCGGAGTGGAGACACAGCACAGGGAGACCACGGTGGAGGTGCGCAGCGATGAGCCACGGGATAAGAACGTCAGGCACGTCGGCCTTCCGCTCTAGGGGAAACACCGTGGTGTAGCGCGTGAAGTCGTCAACGAGCACGAGAAAGTAGCGCTCTCGACGCGGTCCAGGGACAGGGGTTAGGCCCCAGACGTCCAAATGCAGGGTCTGAAGGGGTGCAGTGGCAGGGCGAAGTGAAGAGGAGTGAGGAGCACGGCGCAGCCGGCCCTCGACGCAGGGCGTAAACCGCGGCGCAGGCGAGGGAGGGAGAGCAGGGAGCGACGCAGGGAGGCCGAGGACTAGACCGTGCTGAGACATGTGACGCAGGCGGGGGAGCGCGGGGTGACCTAGGCGGTGGTGCCACAACAGTGATGGGTAAGTGAGCGACCGACATGAGCAGGCCGCATCTACCTGGGTGGACGCAGAACCGGAGGAGGACTTGCCCGCCGGGGGGGGAGCAGTGTCTAGAGTAAACAGGCCAGACACAGGGTCTCGGGGGAACGTCGCAAGGGGGGCGCTTGAGGCGGCCTCGGAACAGACCGCGTACCGCTTGTGACCAGGGAACGTAGTGGTGACGCCGAGGTCCTGAAGACAGCCGACACGAACTAGGTTCCTGGAGAATGAAGGGATGTGCAGGCTTGTAAGGTCACCCGAGGGAACCGCCGGACAGGGAAGGGTAGTGTAGCTGCGAGCAACTGCAGGACCAGAGGAGGGTTCCGCAAGGGCGATAGCGGCAGCGCAGCAAGCGACGTGAGGGCGGCGTGGTCGTGGAAGAAACAGGCTGACGCCGTAGTGGCCGATGACGGAGGAGCAAGGGTAGAGCCTAGGCTAGACAAAGCAAGCTGTCCTACGCCTGATGCAGCAGGGGAGTCTGGACTACATACAGGTGCTATGCCCAAGCTAGAGAACACAGAGTAATACGATCCGGAAACACTCGAAGCGTCAACATGCAGATAATGCAATGCAGAACTAATCTGATCCATATCTAAATCAAACACAGGCACATCGTGGCGCAGCAGGCTGGGCCAGTCAGGGAGGTCCGGGGCGGGACCAAAGCGGTGACGGAAGAGGTCGTCGAGGTGGTGGGGTGCGAGCAGCGGCACACCGTGCCACGCAGAGGCCCGGTCTGAAGCTGGTACTGGCAGCTCACAGCACGGAAGCTGCCGGTGGACGCCGAGCTACGAGGGCCACCATCACGACCACCACCGCCAGGGGCTCCTGGCCACCCGGGCGAGAGACGAGCCCACGGCTACAACAGCTGCTGCTGCTGCTGCTGCTGCGGCGGCTGCGACTGCGGCTGCTGCGACTGCGGCTGCTGCGACTACGGCTGCTGCGACTGCGGCGTCTGCTGCTGCTCCTGGGCACCAGCACCAACCCCCTCGTCAGAACCACTGTCCCCGCCACCACCACCACTAGGGCCACCTCCACGTCCTCCCTTGGGGCCACGGCGGCCCCGGCGCTGGCGCTGCTGCAGGTAAGCCGCAGCTGCTGTCTCAGGTGCAGGCGAAGTCGTGGCAACTGCGGCAGAGACGTCAGCGTACATGCACTGGGAGGGGGCACAGCCCTGAAATATAGGGACTGCCGCAACACCGCTCAACTGAGCGATAGTGCGCTGGCGATTCTCTATCTCAGACAGAGTAGTGACAGAGGCGGTCAGGGTGAGGTCGGCAGGGTGCTGAATCATGAAGTGGTCGCGGGCAGTGGCTAAGCGGTCAGGCAGGCGCATGGCGATGAGGTACAGGGTAGCGCAGAAAGGTGGGGGGAAGGCAGTAAGCTGGGCGGCAGAGCTAGCAGCGCGGTAGCTGGTCTCTAGTGCACGGAGGTGAGTAGCGAGGTCAGCTACCGTGGGGAAAGCAGAAAGATCAGGGAAGAGCATGGGTAGGATCAAGCGGCCAGCAGAGGCGGATGCAGGTGTGGAGTAACGCTCAACTAGTGCAGCGAGAAAGTCCTTGGCGTTCGCGACAGCGGTAAAGTGTGGACGCTCTGACAGGAGGAGGGCATGGCTAATGGCAAGCTGGGCTACTGCGTCGCGAGAATCCCAGACAGCTTGAGCAAGCGCAGCAGAAGCAAAAGCCTCGCTCTCAACAGTGGTAGGGTCAAGAGGGAGGAGATCAAGCGCAGGGGGGTGGGGAAGCAAACCATCAACATGCATAGCCAGGGGGTGCCCATCCTGGCGCTGACCTGTCAGGTGCCGGCAGAGGTCGACGTGCTAGGCGGCGAAGTTGATCGCGTGCCCCTCAGCGTCCAAGCGAAGAACGGCGTCTGTCATCGCACAGTGTGACAGCGACACAGCGGCTCAGCGGCGCAGCGACTCGGCGGATCGGCGGCTTGGCGGCTCGGGGACACGGTGGCACAGCGGCTCGGCGGCACGTCGGCTCGGCGGTGCGGGTGCTCGGCGGCTCGGGGACACGGCGGCTCGACGGCTCATGCGACGAGGCCAGCTAGGGCGCAAGGGGCCGGCTAGGGCGCAAGGGGCAGGCTAGGGCACAAGGGGCCGGCTAGGGCGAGCGGGGCCGGCAAGGGCGCGTGGGGCCGGCTAGGAACGCGGGGGGGCCGGTAGGAGCACGAGGGGCCGTAGGGGCGCGAGGGGCCAGTAGGGGAGCGACTGGGCCGGCTAGAGGCGCAAGGGGCCGGTAGGGGCGCGACGGGGCCGGCTAGGGGCGCGACGGGGCCGGCTAGAGGCGCGACGGGGGCGCAGGGGCGCGACAGGGCCGTAAGGGCGCGACGTGGCCGTCGGGACGCGACGGGGCTAGCAAGGGGCGCGAAGGGGCCGGCTAGGGGCGCGAGGGGCCGTAGGGGCGCGACGGGGCCGAAGGGGCGCGACGGGGCCGTAGGGGCGCGCGGGGCCAGCTTGGGTCGCGAGGGTCCGGTAGGTGGCGGCACGGGGCGGAAGCGGGTGGGTGGACCTACTTACTTGTGATACCATGTTGAGACTAGAAAGAATGAATAGAAGAAAGGAGAACATGGGAGATATAACGTTTGGGTTGTACTCACTAAGAACATACCATATCTAGCCTATAACTTCTACATAACAATATATGTATAAGTTGACAGTAAGCACGGTATTAGCTTGTGTGGCCCCACACAGTGCTGCCCTTCGCTGCCCACTTATTTGCATCCATAGAAGGTTGTTTGATAACTGGTAGGACCCCAAGTGTTTAACCAAGATCCCTTTACCATGTTTTGGCCAACCTTCAACAGTAAGGAGATGGGAAGTGACACGAGACGTGTGATTCGAATTGAGACGACATTGGAGACTTAGCGTTCTACCCAAGGTTGAATCTATGTATATTATACCATCCACCTTACCTTGTTTCAACAAGAGTGTTACGTGCCCCCCTCACTCCTGATCCAGTCCAGACAACTGCGTGGGGCTGGTGTTCCGTCTTGCCTTGAACCAGGTCCAGGCTGAGCTCAGTTGCGCGAAGGCAGCTGCACCATTCGGTGGCTTAGGAAAGACACCTGCAAAGTTTGACAGATGCTCAAAGTGAGTAGATTGGTGAGCGCTGCGCTCTGGTAGGGCAGAACGAAGCCGTGCAGGTATTAAATGGCGAGATTTCTTGCCGTTTCGCCTGATATACCCCACCGCCGTTCTGCACACGGGCTCCAGAGTGGCGACCGTCCCCCCAGCTGCTTTAGTTGATGGGAATCCACCGAGCTCTTGTAGCCTACGAGTCTTCTGGCGCTGACTTGGTCACATGTTTGTCAAAATCTGAGCTGTCCAACTCTGGCCTGAATTCCAGCACCCGCCCACGGGATCACGAGATTCCTTTGTGCCATAGCCACTAATCCCTTAGCTAGTGATTCCTCCACCTTTCACGACTAGCTAGGCCGGACACCGGGTCAGGGCAACGGAAGTAGGCTTACAGTAAATTAAGGCTGCCAGAGAGGCAGTAGCGGCGCGATGGAATGGCGGACGCTGCGGCATCTGGAAGTGGGCGCACACGCGCAGGCCGCTGCCTTCCATCCAACGCAACCCCTGGTGTCCGTTTCTGTCGGACGGTCGGTCATAGGTATGGAAGTTATGCTCCTCTTCATCATAGGTGTCCCCCAATCGAAATTCTCTCTTTTTCCTTCGGAATCCCGTCCGCCTACATATAACCATTTATCGAAATCCCCATTCGTGAACATGCAACCCCAGAGGTCGCGTCTTCTTCATACAGTTCGTTGCCGTATTCAACCTACCCCGTACCTTTTCATGCCACTTTCGTTGCTTCCCCTTCCCTCGCCCCGTCACTCCTGCGACCACTATCTCTCCCGCGTGACCAGAGTACGACCTGCTGACAGGATGTCAGCTGGCGAAGATGGACATCGGAGGGCCCGTGGTGCGCATGGGGTACGCGCCCGCTGCAGGCCACGTCATCGTGGCGGTGATGGAGGTGCGGTGGGAACGGGCTTGCTCTGCGCTGCACTGAGTTTTTTTCTTATGTCTAGCCTGTTTTTGAACAGCCGCCATCCTTCTATTCGCTTCAGCACCTGAAGCCTTGTCGTCCATATCCTCACACCACGAGCGAATCCCTACTGACGCGACCCCGTGTCACCCTTTCTGCCATTACAGTCCTCCTCTGTGCTGCAACCATATCGTTGTCCTGTGTGTCCTAACCCTCGTCTCCTGCGCTGGCACCAGGACCACACGATCCGGTGCTGGGACCACGACAGCGAGCTCACAGCCATTCTCTTCACCCCTCCTGACCGCCGGGGCGACAAGCCCGCCGAAGTGCACCTCGCAGTGTGCCCCCACCGCCCCTGGGCCTTCTTTGCAGCGCACAGACGCACCTCCATACATGGTCAGTGCCGTGCCTGCCTCTCCACGTGCCTGCTGCCCTGCTGCCCTGCTGCCCCGATGCCCGCCTGCATGCCATGCCTTTGTTGTGAGACAGGACGCCTGGATGCTCGAATGTGCTGCCATGCTCTCTCTTGGATCATGCATGTCTTGGGAAGCACACCAATATTTCTGCGTCCGCTGTTCATGTGTGTGTGTGTGTGCATATGCGCGCAGTGGTGGGCGTGCTGGAAGGCATTCGGCCAGCCACGAAGCTGAAGGCGGAGTTCAAGAAGCCCATCACGTCCCTCGCATGCCATCCACGCCAGCCCGTGCTGGTGAGACGGGAAGAGAGAGCAGCACCAAAGATGGAGGGACTAGGAGAGGGGTTGCGGGACAGCAAGTGTATGGAGAGGCAGAAACCTGGATTGGATTCGTTGTGCATTGTGCTCACCAGATCTCCATGTATCTCTCGGTTTTCTTCCTAAAGTCGTCCTTGTGTGCGCCCCCTCTGATCACTTGTCAGCTTCCTTTTCTTGGCTGCTGCCCACAATTTGGCTGATAACCCCCTCTTTGTGTGCTACCCCGTGTTTGTTCCCGTGCATGTGTGCATCAGCTTGTGGCGTATGCAGAGGGCGTCATCCGCGCGCACCACGTCACCTCCTTCAACCTGCTCTACACGCTTTCTTGTGACACCTGGCCCCTTCTGCTCCCACCCACCCACCATCCCCACCGCCTCCGTCATGCCTCATCTCGCATTCAAGTTTCCACGCTTCCCACCTCCTCACTGTTCGCACTATAGCTCCTCTGCTTTGTCCCTGCAAGCACCTTACCTTTCTTCCAGCACCTCTCCAAAGTCTCCTGCTTTTGCACTTCCTTCCTTCTTACACCTGCCCCTTCCGCCATCCCCCCTGCCTCTGCTTCTCCCCCCGCCCCATGCCATGCCTGTGCGGCAGTGGACGACCCGTCAGTGAAGCTGATGGGGGCGGCGGCCATAGTGTGCCACCACCTGCTCGACCATATCTTCGTGGGCGATCGTTCGGGCTCCCTGCTCGCATGGGACGTCTCCGTGCCTGCTCGCCCCAATCTCATTGGATTGTACGCTCCCATGCACTCCATGCACCCACTCATGCCCATCTCTTGTGCTCTGAGCTACGGGCATATGCCTCCTCGTTCTGAAGACGTCAACCCCGTGGCTGGGTGACTGCAGCTGTCTCCCTTTTGCTTCCTCTGAGTTCGTTTCGCACTTGCTTCTCTTTTGCTCCCTATGGGATGGGTGCAGTCTGCAGGTGGCGGTGGTGGCGGTGATGGCGTGTGTGTGGCATGCACCGCTGGAGCTGCTGCTGGTGCTCACTCGCGATGGCACGGTCAAGGCCTACTCGCCCCACATCCACCAGAACCCCGCGCTCTCCCTCGCCTCCAACTCACACTTCTTCCATGAATACGGTACGCAGCAGCACTGCTCTCGTCATGCTGACCTTCAGCCCAGCACACACAAACACACGAGCGCTGTCATTCCCGTGCCGCACTGCACCCCCTTCTTTCGTTCTCCGCCTGTTTCTCCTCCAACCCTATGGTTCTCTCTCTCTGTCCCCCATCTCCCTCCCCCCCCCCTCACCTCGAACCCCACCCGACCCCACCCCACCCTACTCCCCACCCGGCTGACAAACAATACTCGCGTGTGTTGATTTCATTCTGTGCCATGCCCCCCTCAGAGGCGGTGGAGGTGGACGTGGAGCGACTGCTGGTGCAGGCAGGCGGGCAGTCCGTGGTGCCCGTGCCCCGCATCCGCACCCTGCACGTGCACCCCACGCTCAACTTCCTCCTCCTGCTCTTTCTAGTACGTCGCCCTCTGTCGTCCCTCCCTGCAATGCTGCTTGCCATGTTGCCCAGGCTCCTCTTCTGCTTTGCCATCATGTCACAACTAATTTTTCCACTGTTGTCCTTGAGCCATGATTTCCACATCCTGAGTGCGTGTGTTTCTGGCTTGTGAATGGATAACTGAATGGGACTCATTGTGCTGTCGTGGGTGCGTGCACGAGCACTTTCCGGCAAGTGTGCAACTTGTTGGGGATGTGGGAGGGTGGGTACCTATCTTCCGTGTGTCAACTATCGTTCGACGACCTCTGCACTACTGTTTCTGTTTTATCGTTCAACTGTGGTTTGCCGGGGGTGTGGGTGGGTGGGTACCTGTGTGACATGTGTTCCATGTGTGTGTGGCAACAGAGGGAGGGGGCAGCGGAGGAGGTGGTGCGGAAGCGGGAGGAGCATCGCAGCAAGGCCAGTCGCAGGGCCCTGCTGGACATGCTGCAGTCAGCCAGGGGCGCCACCGACCCAGGTGAGCCTAGGGGATGTGGACAGGGTGCAGCAGAGGGCAGTGGGGAAGTTGGGAAAGGGAAGGATGTCGATTTTGAGCTGAGGAAAAAGGGACTCACGGGAAAGGAGAGGGAGGGGAATTCGCTTGATCCTGTTGTGTGCTTGTGACTGAATGACATGTTTCTTGCCTTTGTGTGCTTTGCACGGTGCAGCGAGTCAGCGTGATAAGCTATCATCGCTGGGGCCGTCAGTGCTCATGTCGGATCAGCAGCTGCAGGAGCAGTTGGTGCTGTCACGTGGCCAATCGAAGTGAGCCGCATGCCGTGGATCTTTCTCTATGTTACTTGCGACTATATTGCGCATCGCACATTCTACTGTGTTGATGCCCTTTGCCCTCCTCCCTCATTCTTGGTAAAGCTTGTAAGAAGCACTGAGGCTTGAAAACTTGCTGGGTCGATTGACGTGTGAGTTTGATCTGATGGTTCGTGGTGATCCGCACCTCCCCCCCGCCCCGTCCCCCACCAGGCTTGCTCAACCAACATTGCTGGATTTTGCTCGCAAGGCTTACTTGTATGGAGTGAGTGCCTCATCATCCACCCTGCATTTGACAACTTTCTGTTTCACCAATTACCTTGCAAAGCCACTTGACACCCCCGGCCTACCTCCCTCGTGCGCTGTCCTCTTCTCATCATTGCTCTCTCTCCCCACTTTACTTGCCGCACGCCCTTGCTATCGTGCAGCCCACCCATGGAGGACTGTTGGACACTGCTGGCCATCTGACGACTCTGCCTCTCATCCGCGTTCTCGACCCTCTTGAGCCCGCCAACGACCTGCCCATCGCCCATGTAAGGCCCTGCCAACTCCTCCTCTCTCCGCTGTGCGAGTGATTCCTTTGGTCCCTGCCATCTTGCTCTGTAAGCATGGCTGAGAGCGCTCGCCTTCTTTGTCACAGGCAATCAACTAGTCTCTGCTTCGTTTTTCTCCCCCCCTCTCCTCTCCCCCCTTTCCCCCCTCCCCCCCCTGCTCCACTCCACCGTGCGTCTGTGTGTGTGTGGGCAGCCGTGGCACTCGGCGCTGCTGATGTACAACAGCGAGCAGGCGATCTTCCGCTTCCCCTCGCGCATCGCCCTCATGGACGGCTGCTCCATCGCCTCCTTCAGCCTCGCCACCGGGGTGCTCTCTAGCCTCAAGAAACTGCCGCCCGTGGTGTGTGCACTCCTTGTGTCTGAGTGTGTGTGGGGTGTTGGGTGTGGGTTCCTCTCTGTGTGTACTTTGACATGTTTGGTCTCAGGCTCACCTTACCCCTACCTTCTTTCCTGCCCCCCACCCCCCCTCGCCTCCACCCCTTCCCGCTCCACTCGCCCTTTCTCTCTTCCTTGGCGACCTTTCTCCCTTCCTTCCCCCATACCCTCTCGTGTCTGTGCCTACACTGATTCCTCTCCTTCAAACAATGCGCCTTTTGCTTTTTCCTCTCTTCCTGCATCCGCCCGTGCGCCTGCACACACGCGACAGGACGGCAAGGGGCAGCAGCGGCGGGCGACGCACATGGTGTACAGTCAGAAGCAGCAGTGCTTCCTGGTCTTCTTCGAGGCAGCACGCACGGCAGGCGGGGGCGGCGTGTCGATGGTGGTGCAGCGGTACCTGGATGTCATGGAGCCCCTGGGCGAGGGGCTCGACACGCTCACAGGTGGGGCTAAGCCCTAAGGGATGCATGGGCTCGCTTGAATTTGCTTGCGGTGGACGAGGCTTTGTTGGTCTTTGTTGCTGTAGGTTGAGGTTCTGCTTGCATGCGTGCATGCATCTGGCTTGCTGGATATGCTTGTGATCCGCTTTCTGGTGTGTCGTTACATGGTACACGAGCATGCCCGCCTCATCATCTTCTGCACAAGATCTGCCTGCATGCCATAAGATCTGCTCACATCCCCTCAGAGTTCCCCACCCTTAGCTCGTGCCCCGTCCTGCTGTCGTCCATCCCGCTCTCTTCCCCCCCCAACCACGGGACCCCCCAGACATCCCTGCGCGTGACGGGGCGTTCATAGGGCACCACGACAAGAAGCTGGTGCTGCTGGGCGAGACGGGCTATGTGCTCACGCTGCTGCCGCTGCAGGACCCCAACAAGTCACCGCAGGAGCTGGAGGAGGAGGAGGAGGACAAGGAGGAGGAGCAGCGCAGCGCCAAGGAGGGTGGCGGCGGTGGCGGGGAGGAGACGACGTTCACGGGGTTTGGAAGTCGGTTTGACGAGGTGCAGGATGAGGTGGAGCAGAAGCAGGCGGCCAAGGGGCAGGAGGGCCCCGTGGAGTTCACCTTTGAGACGCCTGTGCACCGCGTCTTCGCCACGCCCATGGGTGTGCACACATACACACACGCACGCAGGGGAGAGCAGGGTGCCAGGGGCCGTGAATGGGGGAGGGGGGAGCGGGGAGGGACGGGGTGTGGGTCTTGAGGAGATGGAAGGAGGGGGATATGCACATTGGGATGGGATGGGTAGGAGCTGTACTCCTTGACAATCGCCTTTAAAGGGTTTGGAGGTCTCCGACTAAGTCCTCGCTCTTTTCGTGCGCTCGCTATCTCTCACTTACTCTGTCAGTCACTAACGTTATCCCACCCTCCTCCCCACAACCACTGGCCCCCCTATGGCTTCTTACAACCCCTTCCACTGCGTGTATGCATGTGTGTGCATGTGTGTGTGGTGCATGCTTGTGGCGAGCAGAGGACTCGCTGCTGTACGTGGCGCTGGGCAGCCACATGGGCGTGGTGCAGGTGGCGGTGGACGAGTACGGGCGGCCGGCAGGGGACCTGGTGGAGGCGGAGGGGCTCATGTGGCTGTCCACGCGCAAGCATGACAAGGCCCACCTGCCTCTCAAGCTCGGGGAGACCGTGCTGCAGGTGACGTGCCGTGCTAGCTGTGGTGTAATGCGATGTGATGGGTGGAGACCCTTTTGAGGCATGCCACGACGACTGTTGTGAAGAGGAGGAATGAAGGGGGAGAGGGAAGGGAGGGCGAGGGAGGGATTGGGTGGAGTGCGCCTGTCCTTATGTTTGTTATCCTGCTGTCTGTTGACTGCATCTGCTGACCGAATGACCTCTACCATTCGCTGCCCTTGCTGCTGTCCAACCTGTTACGTTTGATGTAAAATCCCTCCTCATAGCTGGGGACCTCGTCCTACTTCAACTGCAACTTTCCCCACACCTGCGCACTCTCCCCCGTGCTCTCTGCTCCCAAAATCTCACTGCTTGCATTATATTCTTGAACCTACTCCTTAACCTCTCCACCCTAGTGGCTTCCCACTCCTCCCATCACGGCGCGAGCCTCCCATCACGACCCCCAGTTCTCCCCGTCAGCGTTGTCTCCAAGACCAATTGAAACCGTCCTCTGTGTGTGTGTGTGTGTGTGTGTGTGTGTGTGTGTGTGGTTGAGTGCTGGTGGCAGGTGTGGTGGCAGAAGGCGCTGACAGGGCACGTGGCGGCAGTGATGACCACCATGCGCCTGCTCATAGTGGCGGCAGACCTCTCCGTGCTCGCCAGCACCACCGCCTCCTCCCGCGACTCCCACCCTCCAATATCCCACCCACGCCCGTCGTCCTCCTTCCCTTCCGCCTCCCCTCTCCCCTCTTCCCTATCTCCCCTTTTTCCGCTTTTCACCTCCCCAACCCCACCCACCCCGCTCCCTAGTTCTGTCATTATTTCGCTCTTGGATCTCTCCTTCTGTGCAACATTTATGCGCCACTCTGACCCACTCTTGTGCTTTTCACCCCCTTCTGGTGGCTCCCTCTTTCCTTTGCTGTTTCGCCTCCCCTCTTCTTCTTTGTTTCCCACAACCTTCTACTCCCATTCGTGGCGCCCACCTTCTCCCTCCTCCACTCCCAGTCTGTCCTTGGATACTCCCTCTCTCTCACTCTTACTTTTGTCAAGCGCACGCGCCCCATCCACTACTTTATCCACTGGGTTTGTCCTTGACGGCTGCTCACTTCACCTCATGCCTGTGGGTGGGCCCCGCACTGCTTTTCACCACTGACTCCGCGGTCTTCATGCTTGGCTGGGACTCTGTCGTCAGGCCCATCGTCGCCCTCAGCTCGCCCAACTCAGGTACTCTCACTCACCCACCAACTCCTTCATCCCTCTTACCCGATCCCCCTCCCTCCTCCCCCTCTCCCTTCCGCCTCCCCTCCTACCTTCCCAACTGGTCCTTCGTCGCTTCCCGCTCTTCCGTCCCTTCCTACTTCCTTTAATCTGCATTCCATCTCATTTCGGCCTCACCACCTCTTCCCCGCTCTTCCCCCCCCCCTTGCCCACTCCCCACTCCCTCCCTTGCACCACGAGCACAGTGCTACTAGCGGCACTGAACGACCGGCTGGTGCTGGCGACGCGCGCATCGGTGTCGCTGGGGCGCGTGGCGACGGTGGACGTGCAGCAGCGCCTGGTGGGGCTGCTGGAGCCGCTGCTGGCGGGGTGGGTGTCGCTCGTGCACTCGCAGGGGGCGCACCCCATGCTGCACCTGCCCAAACTCATCAGCCAGCTCATCTCCCGGTGAGACTTCACAGCACACGCTGCTCCATGCTGCTCCACGCCACTTCTTGCCTTCCCTGCCAAGGCTCGCCAGCCGGGTTGTGAGCAGGTGGAGTGATTTTGACATGGGGGAGAGTTAGGTGATGGAACAGGTGTTGGAAGTACGCGCAGAGGGAGGCGTCATGGAAAGGTATTCGATTGGAGTCAGGCACATGAATTTGGGAGCCTAAGTAAGTAGGCAAGCTGTGACGTGAGCAGCAAGCTTGTCTCGTCAGCTGCCACCGCCACTGGCGCAACAGATTACTGCGAATTCTGTCCTGCCATTCCGCTCTGCTGCACTGCACCCTCGCCACCATTTTGTTGCTGGCCAAGCCTTCTTGCCAATGCCAATGCTTCCTTGCTCCATCTCCACCCTCTCCCCCCCCCCTGCCCGCCTCTTGTCCCCCCAGCTTCGACGTCATGCGCCTCACTCCTCGCCTTGTGGAGCTGCTCAGCCGCGGGCCAACCATCTGCTGCCAGCTGGCACTCGAGCTTGCTGAAACTGGCCCACAGTTTAACTCGGTGGGTTTGGGAAACATCATCCCTTAGCTCCACCATTTGCCACCCCAGACCTAGTGCTACCAGCCTCACCGGATCTTGCATTGTTGTGATTCTGTAGCTTTTCCATTCCTTGCCCGCATCTCTTCTCACACTTAGCCTCTCCCTTCACTCCGTCCTCTCCCTTCACTTAGCCACTCCATTCGCACCCTCTTACACCCCCCCCCAACCCCCTGTCTCCCCTCTGCGTGCTTTCCCCCTCGCGTCCATGACCCTCTCTGGCGGCGCTGGTGCTGGCAGGAGGTGCGGGTGATGAGTGCGATGCGTGCGCGCAACTTTGACAAGGCGCTGGACATTCTCACGGCTGACTTCCACCACTCCACTGCGTACCCGCGCTGCCCTCCCTCCTCGCGCCTCTTCCACCGCTTCAGGCAGCTCGGTCGCCGCTGCATCACGTGCGACTCCTCTCCCCGCCCCCACCCTCTTCCGTTCCCCCTCCTGCCCGCACGCTCTTACCTGGCATCAATCAGCCCATGGCTCTCGCTTTGAATCACTGGGTCTTGCCTGTGCATTCAATCGTAACATGGTTCTCATCAATCTCTTGCTGCTCCTCTTCTCCCCAGTCCCCTTCCTCCTCCCCATCCCCATCCTTCCCCCCCCCACTTCCCCCCCAACTCCCCGTGCTGCACCAGGTTTGCGCAGTTTGACAAGGCGAAGGCGACGTTCCAGGTGGTGTCGGACGCGGAGGCGATGTACGACCTGTTCATCGCGCACATGAACCCCTCCGCGCTGCGCCTGCTGGCCGCGGCGCTGGAGGAGAGCGAGGCGCAGCCGGAGCTGGAGCGCGAGTGCATGCAGGTGCTCAAGGTGCGCTCGTCGCTGTGGAACCAGGGCGGCGTGCTCTCCGCCATCGCGCAGGAGGCGCTGGCACCCAAGCCACCCGAGTGGGCAGGCGGCAACTGGACTGTGCTCGTCGCCCCAGACCCCTCCGAGGCCAAGCCTGCTGCCGGCACTGCTGCTGCTGCTACTGCGGATGCTGTTGCTGCGGCGAAGGGGGTGGCTGGAGCAGCAGGAGGGGGGAACATAGGGTCAGTGGCGGCGGCAGCAGGGGCGTTGAAGCCTCAGGCGGAGATCACACACTCGTGGACGTTTGGCAACGAAGTGACAGCGTACATGAAGACAGAGGGCGGCGCCATCCCCATCATCATGCCTGACAGTGTGGGCGTGTACCTGGGCGTGGCGCGCGGCAAGGGCGTGGTGACGGAGATCCTGGAGATGAAGAAGGACGAGGGCAAGAAGGCGGAGAAGAAGAAAAAAAAGAAGGCCACGGAGGCAGAGATCATGGCAGCAGCTGTCGCCAGCTTTCTGCCCGGGGCAGAGGCGGCGTCAGCAGCAGCAGGCGGGTCGGTGCGCAGAGGGGAGGAGACGGCAGAGGAGGCACAGCAGAGGGCGGCCGCGGAGTTCAAGACGAGCATGTATGGCACTGGGGAGGCGTTCGACAGCGACAGCGATGATGACACCATGTCCACCACATCCCGTCGCAGCAAGTTCAGCATCAAGATCAAGGACAAGGTGCGAAAGCGGGTCACCCAGCCCCCTTTCCACCTGTGGCAGCTAGCTGCTCCTCGAGTGGCGGGATTTATGATCTTGTTCTCCTGCTTTCCCCACCAGCTTCCTATCTGCCTCCCTCCTCCCTGCTCTCTCTCTCCCCTTCTTCATTTTTTCTCTGCTGCCCACCCTCCCTTTGTTCTCCCCCCTCTCTCTCAATGCCACTCCCCTTCTTCCCCATTCCTATCGCTCGCTCGCGCCAGGACTCACTGTCGGGAGTGGTGGATGTGAGCCGCCTCAAGGCGGCGTCCAGGACGCTCACTCTGGGGGCGCCATCCAAGCCCGCGTCATCTGCTGCCACGGACGAGTTCGGCTGGCAGCAGTTCGAGTCTGACTCCAATGGCCTCGCCATCGTGCCCTTTGGGGACGCTGCTGCCGCCGCTGCCGCCCAGCCAGCACCTAATGGCGTGCCGGGCGCTGCTCCAGGAGGGCCCCTGTGGGCTACTCCCCCTGGGCTGGGGGCGCTGGGCATGGGCACGGGGGGAGGGGTGCCGGCTCAGGCCGTTGCACTGGGCTATGCCAAGCCCATGCTGCCACCGGGGCAGCAGGGTGCAGGGCAGGATGGCAGTGCTGCGGTGGAGGCAGCGGCCGCGGCAGCAGCAGCGGCAGCGGCAGCATCAGCGGGTGCAGGTGAAGCGATGGGTGCAGCGGGGCCGGTGGGAGCGGACGTGGTGGGTGAGAGCGAGGCTCTGTTTGGGGATGACGTGCCCTTTTCAGCACAGCCGTCGTTCCAAGCCACGCAACCCCCACAGGCGGCAGCAGGAGCAGCCGGAGTAGTGGCAGGCAAGCAGCGGCCTATGCTGCCACCGCCAGGAGCAGGCCCCATGCAGCTGCAACCCGCCACCGGAGCAGCAGCAGAACCGGCAGCGCAGGAGGAGTTTGGGGGGCTGTTGGCGGGGACTGCAGAGGGACAAGGCAAGGGGCAGCCAGGCCCACTCAAGGTGCCGCTGCCTAAAGGGACAGCAGGAGCAGATGGAAATGAGCTGCCTGCTGAGATCTCGGCTCTGTCAGAGGCCCAGGCAGGCGCGGAGAAGCGGGCGAGCAAGGAGAAGGAAGCAGCGCGTGCAGCCATGCCCACCAAAATTCTCCCTGGCTATGTGGGTGCTCCTGCCGCTCCTGCTACTGCTTTTTTGGTCGTGCTCCTACTGCGGGCGCTGCTGCTTCCATTTGGCATGTCGATTGGCATGTACCTGTCTGATGCCACCCTTGCAACTGCATCATCAGCCGCTGGGATACTAGCATAGGAGGCCGCGTGCTACCAACAAGCCCATTCACACAACTTCCCTCTGGAACTAGAACCCCCTTTCTGAAATGCTTCCCTCTCTAACACCACCACCTCTCCCCCCCATCTGCCCAACACCCCGGCCACGCGGCTCGTTTTCCCCCGCAGGTGCCGCGGGGTGCGTCGGCGGCGGTCTGTGTGAAGGTGGCGCTGGTGCACGTGGATGACAACCGCCTGGCTGACGCGCTGAGCTGCGTGGACGAGGCATTCCTTGCCATGGCCAAGGACCGCTCGCTCGGCAAGGACATCCACGCGCAGGCGCGCATCGCCGCCCACTACAAGACCGGCGCCATGATCCTGCAGGTGCGGCAGGGGGGGGAGGGGAAGAGGAAGAGGGGGAGGGTGGGGGAGGGGTGGTTTGGGGGAGGGGGGCGCATGGGGCGTGGGTTGATGGGCGGTGTGGGAGCGGGCTGTTGATTGCAGTGGAGTAGGGTAAGGGTGGTGGTTGTGGTGATGTGTGTGAGAGGGAAGGGGCTAGTACTGACTTAGGGGGAACATGAAGGGTTTGGTAGAGGGACCAGACCAGAGGGACAGTGGGACCAGAGAAGAAGCAGCACTGGGCTTAGGGGATCATCCACAAGAGCTTCACATCGCGGATGCAATAGTTGGGGCTGGGTGTATGCATGCATTCAAGTGGTGGAGTGTGAGGGTTGCTGAGGAGACAGTGTGTTGAGCGCGCACATCACATGCGGACTCATTCCACGTGTGTGCCGTGTGGATGAGTCGCTGCCAGAAAATGTGCAGTGCCGTGTGCTGCCTGCGAGCTATTGGGATGGTGGCGGGCTCTGTGGGTGGTCAGCGTTGCGTGCGGCAGGTGGGATGGATGAAGCCATGTGTGCAGCCGCCACTCCTGCAGAAGGGGTCCCGCAGGGGAAGAATACCAGGTGCCATTGGTGGCCGCGTGTGAGGTTGAGGGTGCACAGAAAGTAAGGCTGTTGACCGTACAGGTTGCTCAGATCCCTCCTAATGTACTGTTCTCTCCGACCTCTATCTCCCTTCCCATCTGCCCCCCTCCCTTCGCTTCTTCCCTGCACCTTCCCCTCCCCCCCCCCCCCACACCACATCCACACCCCCCCTCCCCTCTCTCTCTCAGGAAATAGTCCGCCTGCAGAAGGCGGAGGGGCAGGGCGCGTTGGGAGCAAAGGAGGAGATGGCGCGGCTGGCGCGGCACCTGGCGTCGCTGCCGTTGCAGCCGAAGCACCGCATCAGCTGTGCGCGCACGGCCATCCGGCGCAACATGGAGGTGCACAACTTCGCCTACTCCAAGCGCCTCCTCGACGCTCTCCTCGCCAAGGCCCCGCCCAACAAGCAGGCCGAGCTCCGGGCACTCGCCAAGTGAGGCGGGGATGGGGGACAGGGGGGGGCAAGAGTGGGAAGAGAAAATGGATGGCTGATGACATAAGATTCTGCTGTTCCCTCTTGTTTTTCCACCTCATGTTGCCTGCCTGCCATTCTGCCGCCCTGCTACACACATCCTTAGTTTAGCCTCTACCCCACCCTCCCACCCTGCTTTCCCCTCTCCCCCCGCCTCCCCCTCCCCAACACCCCTCCCCTCCCTCCCCGTGGCAGCATCTGTCTGTCGCGGGGCCTGACGGACCGCACGATCAACCGCTCCGAGGACCCATCTCGCTTCTGTGCGGCGTCGCTGGCTCTGCTGCCCACCATCGGCCATGACGTGTGTGACACCTGCAACGCGTGCTTCGCTGCTCTCGCCTCGCCTGGCTGTCCCATCTGCGGCATGGGCACTGTCAGGCGCTTTGACAAGGCTGGTGTGGGCGGTGCTGGTGGGGGGGGGAGTGGTGTGGCAGGGAGGACTGCTGCAGCTGGAGGGCAGGCAGGGAGAGGGAAGGGCGGTGCCACTGCCTTTGCATCACCCTTTTGACTGCAAATGAAGTGCGCTGGTTGATCACTGGTGGAACTGAGCCATGACCCATGCTATTGTTAGTGGTACTCACTGCCTGGTACTATATGGCATTGACATCTGTGATGAGTGCCTTCAATACAGTTGTTGGGCTGAGAAAAGCCCTTAGGATCTTTTCAGAGACCAAGTCCCAGTTGTACAAGATACTTGAGTAGTGCAGCAGAGGATGAGTAGTTGATGTTAAAGTGAGAATGAATGATGACTAGAAGTGGAAACCTAGAACAAGTACTAGTTGGTTGTACTCACTAGAAGCAAACCTCAGTCTAGCCTATAACTTCTACATAGCTAATATGTATAAGTTGACACACCCCCTAGGCTAGACAAGGGGTGAAGCTAAACAAGAAGCAAACAGCTCAGGGCGGCACTACTAGTCCAACCACTGAGGCAGGGGTCTGGAGACCAGTCAGCAAGAATACAACTAGAACTAAAGCAAGCCAGGGCGGCACTACTAGTCCAGCCACTGGAGGTAAGGCCACAAGGCCAGTCTGACAGGCATATAAAATAGAGAGTACACAATCAGGATCCTAACAGGGGAGCAGCTACAGGAACAAGACCAAGCTGTACACAGTGCCGCTGATGATCTTTAGGCGCAAGCGCCTTAGTCAAGATATCAGCTATGTTGGCACCTGAGGCCAAGTGAACTACGCGGGCCTGGCGGCGCTGCTGTAGCTCGCGCAGGAGGAAGTACCGCAGCTGGATATGCTTCGCTCTGCCCTCAAGCCGAGGCTCCTGACACAGGAGTATCATGGCCCTGTTGTCAGCGTACAGGACCGGGGCAGAGCTAGGCCGCTCACCTAAGTCTGTGAGCAAGAAGGTCAGCCAGCGGAGCTCCTGTGCCGCCATGGCACCAGCGTAGATCTCAGCCTCACAGCTAGACTGAGCCACAGACGACGAGCTAGTGGATCTCCAAGAGATGGCATTCGAACCAAGGCTGAAACAGTAGCCCTTCGACGACCTGAGAGTCTCAGAGTCGTCTGCCCAAGAAGCGTCTGTGTGCCCAGTAAGGACCACTGGCCTGCGTCCTCCTAGCACTAACCCCATGTCCGATGTACTAGCAAGATAACGCAAAACCCTCTTAGCGGCAGACCAGTGCTGAGGTCGGTGTCTGCCTGTAGCCACAAAGCGAGCCAGGATGCTGAGAGGGTATGCGAGATCTGGGCGAGTGCAAGTCATCAGGTACATGAGGCAACCCACCAGCTCTGCTTAAGGGCCACTGGGCTCTACTGGCTCCTCAGGAACGGGAGCAGAGAGCCCATGGTCTACAGGTAGAGGTGTGGGCTGTGCGGAGGAGAAATGAAGACCGAACCTCTGAAGGACCTGACGCACCAAGTGTGACTGTGTCAGAGTGATGGTGCGTGCTGCTCTGTCCCTAGAGATCTGCATGCCAAGATAGCGATGCAGCTCTCCAAGGTCAGTGCAGGTGTGTCTCTTCAGCAGCACAGCCTTCACTGAGGCCAGTGCGTCCCTGTCAGCAGTAGCAAAGACCAGGTCGTCTACGTAGACAAGGATGTAGAACGGAGTCTGGCCGGAAGGCACAAACAGTGAAGGGTTAGCAGAGGACGGAAAGAACTGCAGGTCTGCTAACGTGGCACGCAGCGTTTCGTGCCACTCGCGGGGAGCCTGACGCAGGCCGTAGACCGGACGCCTGAGAAGCCACTGGGTCCCAGGGGGGAAGGTACCAGTGAAGCCCTGTGGTCGGCGCAGGTAGACCTGCTCATGTAGGCTGCCCTGAAGAAAGGCAGTAGAGAAGTCGAGGGAGTGAAGCTCGTAGTCACGCTGTGCTGCTACGTGTAGCAGCGCCCGAAGAGTGGTCATCTTCGGGGTCGAAGCGTAAGTCTGGAAGAAGTCAACCCCCTCGCGCTGACTGAAACCTCTGGCCACGTAGCACGCCTTGAAGACATGCGGCTCTCCAGAGGGACGCTTCACCTTGACGAGCCACCGACCATCGACTACGTTCACCCCAGGTGGGGGAACTGCGTCGATGTAAGTGCCGGTGGACCTCCAAGATGCCATCTCCTGCTCCATGGCAGCTATCTACTGAGAGGCCCAGGGTCCCGAGGTGGCCTCAGCGTAGGTGCGAGGGGTCGGGATGTCGAAGGCGTCTGGGTCACCCTCAGGGACTAACAGCATGGAGCAAAGATGGGGAGCAGCCTCGGAAAGGAAAGCAAGCTCGTACTGCCTGTCCTCTAGGACGTCACTGCCAAGGGCAGGAGCACCCCCGACGGACGGAGGACGGGCAGGGTCAGAGACCAGAGCAGTAGCGTAGTCGAGGCGGCGGGTAGAGGCGAGGTCAGCGACAGCAGCGACAAGCGTGTCAAGGCGCGAGACAGGAACAGCAGGGTCGGTAACAAGAGAGGCAAGGACCCGAGGGACAAGGGGACGAGCGGCACGGAGGTAGTCAGAGAACGGAGGAGGTGCAATAGCAAGGGACGAGGGAGGAGGGGACGGGAGGAGGGGAGGACGAGACGAGCGGGAACGGAGCAACATAGGGTGGGTGGGAAGGACAGGAGAGACGGAACAGCACAGGAGGGACGGCGAGACCAAACGTGAGATGGAGGTATAGGGTCAGGGGACAGCGGAGGGGACACGGGAGGGGAACGAGGAGGAAGACGGGCCGGAGACGAGTCCGGCGGCGGGAACACAGGACCGTAGACAGGAAGGTCAGCAGGCGGTGGGGGAGACACCGGCGCGCGGTCCGGGGAGGGAAGGCCGAGCAGGCGGATAGCGGAGACCGACGGCGACGGCTGCTGCGGCGGCGGCGACGGCTGGGCCGGAACCCTCGGACCGGCAGAGGCAGGACGACCGTCGGCAGAACACTCAACAGCAGCACCCCCAGAACCAACACCCCCAGAGCGAGAACCCCCTCCAACACCAGCGGCACCCCCAGAAGCCGCAGGACGAACACCCTCCTCAACACCAGCACCCCCAGGGGCCAAGAGCGGCGGCGGCAGTGGCGGCGACGACTGCGGCGGCGACGGCTGCCGCGGCGGCGACAGCGGCGACGGCTGCGGCGGCGACGGCGGTGGCGGCTGCAGCGGGGTCGGCGACTGCGACAGTGGGGGCGGAGGCACCGGGGAAGGGGGACGCGGCAAGGACGGACCGGGGGTACCACCAGAGTCAACAGACTCCTCAACGAGGACAACCGTCGGGAGGGGAGTGACGTGAGAGACACCAGACGAGGCAGGACGAGGCGGGAGAGGGGCAGGGGCTACCGGGGGAGAGGGAGCAAGGAACAGGGGGGGGGCAACCGGGAGACCTCGGTGAGGGAAGCGGCGGTAGAAGGAGACAGACTCGTCAAAGGTGACGTCACGAGAGTGGAGGAAGCGGTGAGACGGCGGGTGGTAGAAAAGCCTGTCAGACGAGTCCAGGGGGAAACCGAGGAAGACTCAGGGGACAGTGCGGGCAGTGAGCTTGTCCGTGCCAGAGGCACAAATGTGAGCAAGGCAGCCCCAGACGTGGAACGCAGACGCGTCACCGGGGGACCCGGTCTAAAGGAGGGTCGGCGAAAACTGCGGCCGCTGGGAGCGTGGGCACAGGTTAAGCTGGTGAGCAGCGTAGCGAACAGCGAATGGCCACAGAAAATGGGGGGCATCGGCATGAATCATGGAGGTACGGGCGACCTCCATGACCAAGCCGATGCGGCGCTCAGCAACCCCATTCTGCTGTGGCGAGTCCGGCAAGGTGTACGACTGGGTGATGCCCTCCGCACGACAGAACTGTCCAAGCCGACCAGAGGCGAACTCGCCGCCACGGTCAGAGTGGAGACACAACACGGGGAGACCGCCGTGGAGACACGCAGCCACAACCCACGGGAGAAGAACGTCGGGCACGTCGGCCTTCCGCTCCAGGGGAAACACCGTGGTGTAGCGTGTAGTCGTCGACGAGCACAAGGAAGTAGCGCTCACCGCGCGGTCCGGGGACAGGGGCAGGGCCCCAAACGTTCAGGTGCAGGGTCTGAAGGGGGGCAGTAGCAGGGCGCAGCAACGAGGAGTGAGGAGCACGGCGGAGCCGACCCTCGACGTAAGGCGTGCACGGTGGCGCAGTCGAGGGAGGAAGGGCAGGGAGCGACGCTGGGAGACCTAAGACAAGACCGTGCTGGGACATGTGACGTAGACGCGGGAGAGCAGGGTGACCTAAGCGGTGGTGCCAGAGAAGGGACGGGTGAGTGAGGGACCGACACGAGCAAGCTGCAGCGACCTGGGAGGACGGACCAGCCGGGGGGGAAGCGGTGTCTAGGGTAAACAGACCGGACACCGGGTCTCGGGGGAACGTCGCAAGGGGAGAACCTGAGACAGCCTCAGAACAGACAGCGAACCGCTCGTGCCCGGGGAACGTGGTGGTGACGCCGAGGTCCTGGAGACAGCCGACACCAACCAGGTTCCTCGATAACGAGGGAACGTGGAGGCCGATAAGGGAGCCCGAGGGAACTGCGGGACAGGGAAGGGACGTAGAACTGCGAGCGACAACAGGACCCGCAGAGGGGTCAGCGAGAGAGACAACAGCAGGCGCAACAAGCGGCGTGAGTGTGGAACGGTCGCGGAAGAAGCAGGCAGAGGCATCGGAGTCAAGAGTGAAGGACAGCGACGCAGTGGCGGAGGCCGGGGATGGAGCCGGTGCAGCGACTAGACTAGGCAACCTAGGCAGTCCTACGCCTGACACAGCAGGGGAGGCTAAGCTACACAATGGTGCAACACCTAAACTAGTGTATAGCGTGCCGCGAAGAGGCCCGGTCTGAAGCTGGTACTGGCAGTTGACAGCACCAGAGCCGCCGGTAGACGCCAAGCTACGCGGGCCGCCACCTCGGCCACTACCTTCGGAGGTGCCGGGCCAGCCAGGTGGGAGACGGGCCCACTGCTGCGGCGACTGCTGCTGGGACGGCGGCTGCTGCTGGGGCGGCGGCTGCGGCTGGGGCTGCTGCTCCTGCCCACCAGTGGTTGTCCCCGCAAACGGACTACCGTCACCACCACTACCGCCACCACCACCACCACCTGCGCCACCACCCCTACCTCCCTGGCGACCACGGCCACCGCAGCGCGAGCGCTGCTGCAAGTGGACCGCAGCAGCCGTCTCGGTGAGAGGGGTCGCCAAGGCGACCGCAGCCGAAACGTCAGTGAACATACACTGGGAGGGGGCACAACCGTGAAAGATAGAGACTGCTGGCGCACCGCTCGACTGAGTGATAGTGCACTGGCGAGTC